TATTTATTTATTTATTATTTCTCAGTCTCGCAGCTCTCCAATTTTCCGTGCACTCTTCGGTTTTGCACCACTGTGCATGGCATGTCTAGCTGCTTCGATTGGTGGTGCCGCCCGCTGAGCGATGGCCGTCACTCAGCTGCTTGTCTTGAAATCAAAACTGTAGCAAAGTGGTTCACAGAATAATACGCCTAGGCATAGCAGAGAAGCCGACGCCAACGTCGCTGGTCCGTGGATGCTGCTGCTGCTGCTGCTCTGTTGCCGCTGCTGCTGCAGTGGCTGTGGCAAACAATAAAACTGAGTTGCATGCAACAGCAAGTAATTAGTGTTTATATCGGCGTGTTGCAACGCGCTGCAGCAGCTGCCAACTACTCGGAAGAATATCCATATGAAGGATACGCCGCGTACTCGTTCGCGTCCTCGTCCTAATCCTGTTTAGTGTTTCTCTATAAATTTGAGTGCTGTGCTGTGCTGGCCAACTGCTAGCTTAGATAAAGTCCGTTGCATCGATAAATAGACGCGCAATAATGTTGCACTACATCGCTGCCAGCTGCGCGTTGGTGGCGCTTCTGTGCGCGACACCAACCTCTGCGGCAATCCACAAGCGTAGCGGAGCCCGTGCTGCCAATACGGTGGCCACTGAGCCAGAGGCGACGCCCACGCAAAAGCCGCCTGCAGAGAATACGGATCTGCTGGATAAGCTGAGCTGGAAGTGCGCCAACAATGCCAGCTGCCTGCACGGCGTGGCCAATGGCATTATGTCCTCGTACCGCCGCGGCGAGACGATTAAGCTGGGTCTCTTCGATCTGGTTAAGCTGCCGCCGCTGGACGAGGCGCACAAGCACAAGTGGGGCACTGGGCGCGGTATGTCCAGCTTCATGGACTTTATCAGCGGCAATGCAATTCGAGTGCCCGTGGGTCCGATGGTGTTCAGTGTGCAGCGGGCGGAGGATGACAGCGACTACATTGAAGTGGCGCTGTTGAAGAAGGCGTCGAGTGGCACAGGTAATGGTCCTTGGTGCGCCTGATTGATCTGTACCTAATTGGCAGCTTGTGCGGTCACTTAACTCCGATTGGCATCCAAAAAACATGTGCTGCTCAATTGGAGTACATTTCGTTCGGCGTATTTGGGATTAGTTGTTATGCAGCCCGCATCCATCAGCCAGTTGGCCTAAGGCGACAGACTGGTTCGTACCTTCGGGCAGCATTTGTCAAATGCCTAACCTTGGCAGGACCTCTGGCGCATATAAATGGCCCCGCGGCCAGTAGGCCTGCTGCTCCAGCAGCCATTATTTATATTCATTAGGTGTGATGCTCGTTGAAACATCAATCATATCAGAACGCTCCAATTCAATCCAGTCCAAACTACTATTATCCCATACCCACACACACACACAAATACACACAGACAAACACACATCGTGCTACATTAAAGCCATAAAGCTTAAAACGTGTCCTGCTTCCATAAATTTGTACAGGACGTCTGCAGGGCAACGGCGGCGGTGGCGGCGGACTGCTCGGCGGTGGTGGAGGTGGCGGACTGCTCGGCGGTGGCGGCGGCGGTGGCGGTGGCCTGCTGAGCGGTGGTGACGAGGGCGGCGGTGGCCTGCTCGGTGGACGTCGCCGTCACCAGCATCAGGACAAGAAGCAATTCCAAATGTATATACCCATGTATCTGGCCGCCACAACCTTTGGCTGGACCATGGTGGCTGCCAAGGCGGTGGGTTTGCTGACCCTTAAGGCTCTAATCCTGTCGAAAATTGCCTTTGTCGTCGCAGCCATCGTGCTGATCAAGAAACTAATGGACAATGCCAGTGAAAAGTGAGTCGACGGCATCATAATCATCAGCACCTGCTTCAGAGCACAAACCCAATCTCCATTTGCAGAATGATGTACCAGTTCCCGGAGCACACGCCCTACATGATGCCCTACGGCATGGACTACCCCATGCACTCGCCCGATATCTCGCCAGAGATGTTCCCCAGTGCCCTGCATCAACTGGCTGTCGCCGGCGGTGGCCAGATGCCGCATCCGGGCCATCCCGGCCTGGAGAGCATGACCGCTGAGAGCCACTTGCAGTCACAGGTCGCCAGCGATGGCAGCAACAACACCAATCCGCTGGCCGCCCTCGGCGCGTATGGCGGCCTGGGGCATAAGATAAAACGTGAGGACTCTTGGATAGCGAAGAGTAAGTGCATTGTGTGCGGCGTCATAAAGCAGCCTTACCCTTGTTTCAGATAGCCAGGCCCACGTGGCCTCTGCGCTCTGGTAGATCGCCAGGCCAACGCCTCTGGCACACTTCTGGCCAGATCGATGCCAGTACGCTCGCCGTGGCCGCAGCCGTGGCCGAGGCGAGCGTTGAGGCAGACGATGAAGAGGATGGGGATGATTTCTGAGTAGTGTATATATTTTAGCTTTTGCTTTCGCACAGTTGTTGAATGCTTTGTGTTGGGCTGTTTTGGTAATACCCTATATGAGTACTAGATGATCAGCACTGCACTCTCATTAGGTAAAGGAGTTACTTTGGGCGATGTTTTCAAACCTTTAAGACTTTTCAAATTGTATATATCTTATCGTATGTGTCTAGTATTGAATGCACTGTGACTGACGGTTTGAGGGATAAAGAATGAATCAGAAATTTTATTACTCTATTAAGAAATCTATCAAGAAATCTTTTAAAGAGAAACCTGTTTGCATCATATGCATTTCTATATTCTTTATATGAACCAATAGCTGGTAAAGTGATAATAGATTATATGCTAGACTGATTTAATAGATAGTTAGTTAGGTGAGTTTAACGAGTGGAGCTGAGTGAATGAAACCTAAAAAATGTAAGATGTGATATGTGATATATTCCTTAATAAAAAGGGGATTGGATTGGCATTTATTAAACTAAATTATTTATTACACACGTTTTGGTTTCATATCTTCAGCAATCTAAATCTATACCATTTAGTCATCTTTAGTTAGTACATACTTCATAGGAGTCGTTTCATTTTCTTTTTTTTTATTTCTTTGATTTAAAGTCGATAGCCGTTTCAGTAGGTCTTGATGATGCTAGCCTGCGGGACCTAACAGATCTTGAAGCTGCAGTATTAAGAGTCATCTCGAGTCATTATTTTATATGCTACACATTTTATACAATAATTTCCAAATTGCTGGGATGTTTGAGATCTCATAAAATCATCTATTTCATAGATATTGCGTATCACAAAGGTACAGCTTAAACTTTTCCATGCAACACTTTTAATGTAGCTCTTGCAGTGAATAAAACCGGCCCATTTCATATTAGATCGGACTCACATTTGGCCAGCAAATATCACAGATGACAGCATATGAAACTGAAAGCTGAAAATCCACTCACTAATTGTTAAGAATGCCTTTGACGAACGTACCTGAAGTGCTTTTTGGCTTTTTGCATCTGCTTTGAGACCATTTTGGGCCAATTTGGGGCTGCAATATTGCGTGGGCCTCCACAACTTGTTGCACGTTCATTCAGTTGGCACAATATTGGAATATGCACTACCTACTGCTTATTAGATTGCAAATTTGTAAGCGGACAGACAGTCCATACTGAGCGGAGCACGTTCCAAAGTTTTCCAATAAGTCGTATCACTGTTTGCTGAAAGTTTCGGTTTGAGCCACACAAAGGGGGACTAAAGTCAATGCTGCCAGCGTTTTGTTTCCACTTAATTCAACAAAGCCGCAATTAAAACAAGCACAAACACACACACACATAGACTATCTCTCTCTCACACATACACACACACACACACACAGAACTCTCTCTGGACATATATTAAATCGCTGCATACTTTGCGGCTGCACGTAAAGCAAGCACACAAGCGGGCTATCAAGAGGAGAGTGGAAAGTTTTGGCTAGTGATTGCAAACTTATTTCGTACTTCGAAGAACAATTTATGAAACCAGCTAGAAAGTGCTTGGCCAGTGAGCGTTGGTACTGATAAGTGTATTCGTTGCAGCCACGGCGGCCCGACGACCCCTCATCTACAACTACGTGCAGCCGCAGTTGCCCTTCTACCGCCCGTAGGGGCTGGGCTTAGGCCGATTCGTGCAGCTCTTGGCCCCTACCGCAACCAAAGACCGTGGGACGACAGTGTGGAGGAGAAGGTGAGGAGGTTCTGCTGCCATAACAAATGAACATCTGATGCCCGGCAAACGAGGAGTGCTCTAAGCTGCTTAATTAACATAATTAACTTATTTATTTATTGCTCTTGTTTATTTATCAAATTGTTCATAGTTTAGAGTTAGGTCTAGCACACACACACTTAGTTGAAAATACCTGAAACTAGCAAACAAAAATGCTACAAAAACTAAAAAAAAAAAAAAAAAATGAAACGAGATATAATTAATAAAAATGAAGAGCGAAAATTGTCTCGAAAATTGTAATTCTGTGTATTTTAAATGTATTTTATTTAACGTTGAATATTTAATTAGCATATTTAAATAAATAAATAAATATATGTAAATATAAACATAAATAAATAAAGTACAAGTAGTGTGAAAGAAAGTAAAGTTCAAGCATCTAAAACGCAATTAAAAAGAAATTACAAAGTAAAGTAAGACAGAACGTGAGAGCGAGATAGCATCATGAAAAGAGAAAACGTGATTACAACTATAATGAGAAAAGCGCGGCCCCCACTTTATAAATGCAACATTAATGAAAAGCTTCGCATTATTTGGTAGTGCAATTATTTGTTTCTTAATTGTGTTTTGTTTTTTCTTTCACTGTTGTTGTTGTTGTTGTTTAGCATTCTCTTATTGCGCCACCTTGTCGGGCTGCTGCGCACTGTAGGCCATCTCCTGCGCCTCCTGGGCCATTATGTGCGCCGGCACCTGAGCCAAGCCCTCCACAAAGCCATCAAGAGCGCGCGCCCACCCAGAGCTGTAGCTGTCGTGATGCGCTGGCACCTCCACAATGGTCTTCTTTTGCGAGAGCAGCTTCTTCAGGGATATGATCACGGCCAGCAGCAGCGCTATTTTGGACACAATCAACGCTTTGCCCGCGAGCAGGAAGAGACCCTTCAGCAGGATGGCGCCCACCATGCCCGTCTTGGCCGCCATCATCATTAGGACGGGGCCCATGTTCTTCATTTTGCCGCGCCCCTCCTCCAGCGCCTCGATGGGACGCACCGAGACGCCAACGTTGAGGCTGCCCTTGGGGCCGCTGCTCAGCACAAAGTCCGCATTGTCCGAGAACTTGTAGCGCAGTGTGCGCGAGCGAACGAAGCGCCACAGCTTGTTGGCTATCAGCAGGCCGTAGGACTCCTCGTCCGAGTCCATGGCGCGGGCCAACAGCAGCTCGTCCTCGCTGTCATCTGGTACGTCGGGCACAGCTCTAATTGGAGCACAATCAAATTGAGAGAGTTTAGTGTAGATAGCTCGCTGCTGCGACACTCACCTGTTGCGCGAGACCCTGAAGTTCTCGCTCAAATCAATGCTCGACTTCTTAAAGAGGCGATCCAGAAAGATGACCGTCTTGAGCATACTGCAGGAGTGGTTATCGTTCTGGATGCACTTCTCGTTCAGCTTAATCATGGCCTGCTCCTCCTCCTTGCCAACATAATCGCCGGTTATCTGGAAAGGAGCAGTAATGGCATTAGCCAGCGGCTACTGAGTTGGGAGCAGCTGCTGCCGGCCGATAAAAATATCCAAGCAATAATTATTTGACCCATTTCTTGGCCGAGTGCAAACAAAGGTTTGACATTAATGGGCTGCAGTCCTGGGGCCATGTTTGGAAATTGATAAGATTTCGGGACCGAACGCATGGGCTATCGGCTCAAGCCAGGATATTCGCCAGGATATTCGCAATGCCTGGACTGGACAGTGATTTTTCACTCTTATCGCTGGCAGCCGCTCTACTTCCCTTTCGTTTGCTCTTAGCATGTCGAGGGGGCAAGTGCAAAACTTGTTTGACCTTACCGAGTTGTCACTTCCGTTCTGGGTGGGCGTGGCACGTGCTGTGGCAAGGACAAGCGCCATGCCCAGCAGCGTGTAGAAAGTAAATGTTTGCATCTTGTTGTAAATGCTGTCGCTGTTGCTTAGTTAGCTTCTCTGTTATCTTTACTTGTTTCTGTTATTTCACTGTATACAATATTCGATTGTGTGTTTCACAAATGTCCTTGGTACTCGAGCACACACACACACACGCACTTATATATACACACGCGCACAGCACTTGGCGGAAGCGTCTACGCTTGGCTCGAATGTCGCGTCGACTGTTCAGCGGTTACTGTTGACATCGTCGTCTTATAAGAAAACCTAATGCGAATTTTCCGCCAGCGATTCCGATTTTATATGAAAAGCGGCCAAAAGCGACGCAAACACAATGCAGGCCGAAGCCAGCGTCGGCGTCGTCGTCGACGTTTGTTTTTGCAGCGTCAAACTAGTCGCAGGCTAAGTGTAAGTGCTGTCTATGTGTGTGTGTGTGTTTGTGTGTGTGGAGTGTATTTCTGTCCCAAACTCACAACAAAAGCTGCAAATGAGACTGGGACTTGTTTAGCCAGTTCAAGGAAATTCTAAGCTGGCGCTGTCTATGGCCCCAAGTCAAGCGAAGCACTGAGTCGGCCAATTGACTTTGCTTACGTTCTGCAGCTGCTTTTGCTGACTTTGTTTTTGTTTTCTTTCGTTGGCTTTGCCAAAACAATGCGACTGAAAGTAAACAACAGACCCAATTCCCAACAACAAACAGGCCAATTTTCCCACAGACCCTCGGCAGTGCCACACGAAGCATTGTGGTCGGGGACTCTGTGGCATGTTGCATGGTAGCGTGAAAACAATTTAGTTTGCATCAATTAAGCCACATGTGATCGGGGCTTTGGCCACAGATCTGTATGTGCTCATAACTCAAAGGGAAAGTCGGGCTAGAGCTGCTCACCCACATCCTGCGACAGGTGCATATTATCAAGTTCAAGTTCAGAGCTCAGGCAACAAATGGATGTTTGGCTTCAAATCAACTTAAGGTAGGGCACAATTTATGGCCCTAGTGGTCGACTGGTTGTTTTAAGGGTTCGTGCTTGGCCCACTAATTGAATCAATTTGGCTATCATACGCTAGCTGAATTAATGCACACACTGCAAATTGGCCGACAAACAGCAGCAACAACAACAAGAGCAACAAATCAAAGAGAGCTGCGAGGCGGGCTAAGTAGGCTAACATGAGCCACAAAACGGCCGCTCCACAAAATGTGGCACGCCACGACGAAAGTGGTTGGCAGTGGGGCGCAGAAACCGCTACACGATCTTTCCATAAACCGTTGTGCTACTGCTGCTGCGTGGTCCCAAATCAAACCGCACCAAAATCAAAAACATTGCGTCCGCCTGAGTCAGTTGGCCCCAGCCTCTTCCAGCGCTGCACCTCCTGCACCTGGCTGCCGTCGGCCCCTGGCAGAGTCATAACAATTTCTCAAGTGCTGCCGCTTTCTATCGAAAAATGTGGTCCACTCGCCTGAACTGACGCTGTCGTCGACGAAACGCCAGTGTTGTCACCAGTCACCAGGCGGCGAGGACAGACGCCGCTGGCCGAGCAGGAGCGGGGGGAGTGTGGACAGTTTTGCGGTTTTGGCATTGACTTTGAACTGCCAACACCATGGTCAAGACCACGCCAAGCGAGGTTTCATTCAGAAAAAGCTCAAGCTGGCAATTAATTTTATATAAATGAAAACAATTCATAAACGCGCGGCATAGCTAAGAATACCTGTCTTACCTGCCAACTAAACACTACCTTTAAGTGGTCGCACAATAGTATTTAAACATATTTTTGTAGCTCGTAACAAGCGTAGGTTTCTCAGTTGCAGAGCAAACAGAAAACGTTTAGAGTTGTTGCCATTTTAATGGAATCAATTAGGCCAAAGTCCAGAGTACACAAATCGCCCGAAGCTTCAGCCATTTTCTTTGGCCAATTGGGAATTCTTTCCTAAAGTAAAATGCAATTTATACTAGAGTCAATTATATTATAATTATATATATTCATATTGAATGTATTAGCTGGAGTGTTTCAAATTGCTATGAATACCTAGAGAAAGGCTCAAACTGTTCAAAAGAAATGAGTAGAGCAATAGGAAATAATCAATCTATAGAGAAACTGACATTAACCTCATAAATAAATATTTAAAAAAATTTATGTATATTAAAATTGTGGTATCTTACATTCACTCCTTTGCTCATGCTTTAATCTTCCTTAACGAGTATTTATTGCTACAAAGTCCGAGTCAAGTCGAGAAGATTAATGATCCGAATCTGAGCTGGATTTGTGTGCCCAAGCCCTAAAAATCAAATATGGGTCAGCTATAAATATGGCCGGTAATCAAATGAAGGCAGCCAGTCCTTCAGCTACCTTTGGTAGGGAAAATTGGAAACTCTTATGGTTTCTCTTGTTTATTGTGGCTTCCAGAGGCAAACATTGATGGCGGCCCTCGTTAAAGAAAAGCAAGATTAAACACGCCAGGCCACTTTTCCTTTGCGCTGGCCGTCAATTTCTCGCCTTGGCATTTCATTGCCTTAATTAAATGCTGCATTTTATCTGTGGCAGCTCCAAACTCAGCCACAGCCAATGCGAGCGAAGAGTGCGGCTGCAGGGGCTCAGGTACGGCAGATACACGCGCACATTTGGAGAAACACTGAATTGTGAAATTTTCTATCGCTAATTAGTGCACCCCTTCGATTGGCGCAGCGGCGGGCACGCCCACTCAACCCAGTCAACCCACTGAGTCTAGTCAACCCACTCAAACGGCGTTTGCTTTGAACTTAACATTGGACTTTTATTTACAGTTAGAGCAATAAATATTCTTATAGGAATGCAGTGCCGAGGGCGCGAAAATAAATAACAAAGCGACCTGGTCTAGACCGAAACATCCTTTAACTCTTCTGTGGCGTCGCCTGCGGCTCGGCAGCGATATCCTTGCCAGTGTTGCGTCCATAGTAGCCATTGTAGGCGGCGTCATGCGAATCGCCGAAGCTAATGGAGTTGCCGCCCACCTGGCCCTGGATCGGCTCCTGGCCCTGGTAGCTCTTGCTGTAGTAGTCGCTGTAGGGCTTGGCAAACGAAGGCTCCGGGCGGTAGTAGGGGCCGGGTGCGCCGTGGCCGCCATGGCCGCCCTCGTAGTGCTCATGATGGTGATAGTAGGTGGCAGCGCCCACGCCTTGGGGCGTGTACTCGGGGAAAGCGGGCTTGCCGCCAAAAAGGCTGGACAGGCCACCGCCAAAGGCGCCTCCAACACCACCTGGCGGGCGGCAGAGCTTGAAGTAGGCGAACAGGCCCGGCAGAATGATGGCGGCGAGGCCCAGAATCTTCTTCAGACCCGCAATGCCCAGGATGAAGGGCAGGAAGAGCAGCAGCTTCAGCTTGAATATCTTCAGCACCAGCAGCAGGGGAATAATCATCTTCTTCAACTTCTTGCGAGCTGCAGGACGAAAGTCAGAGTTAGTCTACACCGAAAACCAAAAGTGAGACCGAGTCACTTACAGAAGTGTCCGGCGCGTTTGTTCTCAATGACATCCAGTTCGTCGTCAATGTCATTGCCTATGAAGCGCGCCTCGTAGCGGCCGGCTTCGGTGAGCTCCTCGGGCCACTCCAGCTCCAGCGCAGTGGACTTGATGAATCTGCGGCACAGGAAAAGAATGTGGTCAAAAAAGAGCGAATATACTTTATGCATAAGTTGCTAAGTTCCTAAAAAGTTTCTGGCGAGTCAATTAAGAGAGCCGCGACCCACATTAATTAGCAAAACTTGAAGTCATTTGACTAATTGTCTGCCCATTACGACCTACCGTTCGGCGCGGCGTAGAGCGTATTTCACCAGCAGATTCCAGTCGTCGTCCTCGGAGCGCGGCTCCTCGGAGTACTCGAAGGGTTCCTGCAGCAGCGAGCGCTGCTGTGTCTCAGGCAGCCGCACGACGCGCGCAAAGTCCGAGAGACTGTGGAGGGGAGGCAAGAGGTGAGCACGAATCGTTTTTATTGATGGGAGGCAATCCCTACCGATACTGATCCTTGTAGAAAATCTCATCGAACGTGTTGAGCGCCTGCGTCTTGAAACACTCGGCCAGGTCGCCGCTCAAGCAGTTGCTGTTGGTGCGCGCCAAATAGGGATCGTTGTCGTTGCCCAAGCCGAAGATGCTCAAAATCGAGGAGCGACCACGCTCCTCGCCCGGCTGCGCCACCTGCTGTGGCTGCTGCTGGAACTGCAGCGTCTGTTGCTGTTGTTGTTGTTGTTGCTGTTGCTGCGACTGCGGCGCATAGATCTGTTGGATGTTGTTGGACGACTGCTGGTCGGGCAGTCGCAGCCCCTCGGCGGCCACGAGGCTGATGCCGCAGCAAGACACGATGGTCAGCAAGGCGAGCGCTCTCATTGTCATGGCTAAAAGACAGAAAATTTCAGGCGCATTAGCCGAATGGCCCATAAAAACCACATAAAAGCACAAAACAAAAAAGTAAAAAAAAAAACAAAAACACTTTTCGGCCAATTGAGTCGGGACCGGTCAATCGATGTTTTCTCTGCGATTGGTTTGACGGCTCTGAAGCTGCGCGCTGCAAGCGGAGCTCAGCTGAGGGGCTTGAGACAAAAGTTATGAGTTATACGTGTGTGTGCGTATGGGTGTGTATGTGTGTGTGTGCGATGCTTAGCTCTTTTTTGGCAACTTTAATGCTCATTGTTTGTTCAGTGGTCGAGCTGATTGGCTTTTAGCTAACGTGGGCTCGGCTCCCGGCTCCCAACTGACACAGTTTGAAGAAGCGGCCGGTGTATCGCGTTTGTCACGGCCATTGGCGAAGCTTTTGGCAGCCGCAGTTGGGGCCCAACTTTTGCAGTTATTTGCGCACACGTAATAACTCTCACTTTCCAGCAAAGCGCTGCGTTTACAGCTAACAGTGCCCGCGGTGCTCGCTCGAGCCGATAGGCGAGCTTTCTGTGGCTTTGGCGCCGAGCACTAACCAAAATTTTGAACTCTGCTTACGGCCCAAAGTGAAATGCAATCAAACCGGTTTTTATTTATTTTTTGTTAGGTTGAGTTTGCTTTTTTTGTGGGTTATTTTTGTGGCCACTTAACCCTTTGTCCGCAACGAGCTGGCCAAAGCAACTGCACGTAATTGAAATTGTGTTAAATTTACAAAGCGCAAGGCTAATCAACTGCAAACAGGAAAAGCTGGATCGAATTACCGAAAACTCAATGCCCTTCAATATATGTCATTTAGGATAAGAATCTATATGGTATATAATCTATATGGTATATAATATTTGACAGAATGTACTTTCATTATTATTATAAATTTTTTCTTTT